ACATCGTGATGCCGCTCAAGTGCAGAAGTTTGCCCGTCATCCTGGTTCGGTGAACGCCTCATTAGTTAAGGAGTTCTATGGGAAACATTTCCAAGCCCAATCAACACTCTATCGTTCGAGGTAAGCAAATCCGTTTTACATCCACTGCTATTAATCGTTATTTCATTTACAGGAGGTAGTAGACGGCCATGCCATGTTCGAAGAGGAAGCTGATAGCAACACATACGATGGGGTCTTGGAGGACCTTTGTTTTGAAAACACTGAGTGGAAGATCTTCAAGGTCAATGGCCAGTGTCTGAAAGCCTACAATGGAATTCCACCACCGCACAACAAGGACATGTTACGGCTGCACGATACTGAAGCGTGCTCAGAGGAAAACCAAAATTCGATGCCACGGCATTGAATTTGTGTCTGTGCATAAATAAAATTTAACATTCAAGTTTTTTCTTTAGTTTTATTTTATTTTATTTTGTAATTAATTTTTGATCTGATTTGTAGGGACCACATTGCTGCAAACCGTACAAGGAGCGGTTACCAAAGGGAGGAAATGACAAAGCATTAATTGGAGAGATATTCTTTTGATTTGTTTCTTTTATTTAATTTAATTTCTGACATTTCTTTTCTCTTTCCACGACTTGTCCTATCACATCATTACCTTTTGGTAGTTTTTTTCCTTCCCTATACATGCACAACCCCCACCCACTAATTCTCTCTTAATCGTCCTATCACCCCTTTTCCCTCCCAAATTTTTAACTTTTCTTTTCTCTTTCTTATTCATTTTTTCTCTTTCATTTTAACTTTACTTTTCTCTCTCTTTTACTCATCTTCTTCCCTTATTCTCTCCATAGCCGAAATACATCCAAGTTTTTAAAGCTTTCAAAAGCTTCTTCCTTTTTCATTTTTCTTACTTCAAAACACTGAAAATGGTGTGCTCAAGACCAGCTCCAACCGACACGACCGCTTGGCAACAGTTTGAGAACGATGAGGCCAAGGCTCGGTCCAAAACTTCAAGAACCGAAAACTCTTTTTTGAGTTGGGATTTATTTTACCGAGGAAACCGATGGTGGTTTTGGACCGATGTTATGGACATCGTGATGCCGCTCAAGTGGCAGAAGTTTGCCCGTCATCCTGGTTCGGTGAAGCCTCATTAGTTAAGGAGTTCTATGGGAACATTTCCAAGCCCAATCAAACTCTATCTTCGTTCGAGGTAAGTAAATCCGTTTTACATCCACTGCTATTAATCGTTATTTCATTTACAGGAGGTAGTAGAGGCCATGCCATGTCGAGAGGAAGCCGATAGCAACACATACGATGGGTCTTGGAGGACCTTTGTTTTGAAACATGAGTGGAATGGACGACAAACGAGTAGATACTCGGTCAACCGAGAACGTCTTCAGCCGCGCGCAAGTTATGGAATCACTTTCTCAAGCATAAACTAATGCCCACTTCCCACAACACTACGGTATCACTTTCACGCTTATTGCTTTACATTCTATGATAGATCCAGTCCGATCGATGTGGGTCGTATTATTGTTCAGCAAGTTCACGACTGTTTGGGTAAAAGAGCAAGTGCTTTGGTGTTTCCTAATTTAATTACCGCTTTATGTCGTAAGAAAAAATGTTGAGGAAAATGCTTTTGATGAAATTTTACCTGGATTATCAGGCATCACTAGGGCTAGACTTCCACTATGTTGGGACTTGAAAATCCAAGTCTAAAGACCTGTTCATGAGCAATCTACAGGTGCTACAGAATCGAATGTCGAGGCAAGGTTACTTGCTCTCGAGCAAGCTGTAACGCAGACTCAACTCAACTGCATGCTTTACGGTGACATCCTAATTTCTTTGGATACGTGAAGCATAGAGATACTGTGGTGGAATCGTTGTTTCAAGAAATTCCCCACGGTCAACGGATTTCCCTGGTTTCCCAGACGAAATTCTGCAGGCATTCAATGCTGAGCATCTCCAGAGCCTGAGCACGATGCACCTGATCCTCCTGCTGATGACCCTACTCCTGATACACACCGGTCCGAGAACTCCTGAATATCCGCCCACTGTCCCTGTCGAAGAAATACCCACCCCATCCCAACACCCAATCCTTCTCATGCACAACGTAGTGGTCGTAGCACCAAGACCACGACTAGACGCATTATGCACTATTACTCCACTTCTTCCGAGTCCAGCCCAGCACCTATCTGAAAGCGCACCCGACGAGGAGCTGCTAGCACCTCCAAAGCACCACCACCATGTAAACATTGAGGTACCTCTCTTGCATCCATTTCATTTAGTTGCATTTCATTGCATAACATATAGTTTATAGTTAGTTTAGTTCTCTTTAAAGCATTGAGGACAATCTTTCCTTAAGTTTGGGGGAGGTATTGTTCTTGGTAGGTCATATGCATGATGCATAGTATTATGCCATGGCATCAGTAAATGGTAGGACAATTAGATGAAATGTTTTGAGGATACCCGATGATGATAATTTGTTAGGCTAGAATCTGAATGTAAATGACTGTTGAGAATGATAGAACTCACTCTAGGGCTTGATGCTTTGTGAAAAATATTTACACGATTTGTATGTTTTATACTTAGAAAATTAGGAAATTTTATGAAGGAACTTTAGTAGTCTTGGCATTGAAATATAGTATGGTGTTTAAAAGAAAAATAAAAAACAAACTCCCTTAGAAATGAAACTGTGAATAAATGCTTAAGCATAGCTGTAGAGGGACTCCTCTTTGCCGTGGCATTTCCTGGAACTTTCTTTAAATGGAAGCCTTGTGATGAGTGAATGAAAGAAGTCACGGGGGACTCTACTTAACTAGCTCGGGGATGGAAGGTATGCTCCCTTTCATAGAGTGGGAGAGTAGGTGTGATGAAGCTGACTCCTTCGTAACAGCATATATAAAAACAAATCAAAGAAAATGGAGTAAAAATGTGCTTAATGATAAGTAAATGCCTTGACAAAAACTAGGGGACTTGATTAGAAATTGTCTAAATTCGCTAAGTATAGATTGCATACAATCACGCACACACACTTCCACAAGGATTTGACCTAGAGAAAAGTATTGAATTCTTGATAAGTCTAGCATGTTGAAGCCTATCGTTCTGAGGGTTGAAATTCAATTTTGTCCTACTGTCTTACTATCGAACTTTGCCATGACATTATGCTTATGTAACTGCTATCCATTTCTTGAGGACAAGCAATAGCTTAGTTTGGGGGTGTGTTAACTTCCTAAAAATGCTACTTTAAAGCCTTTTTCACTTAAGTTATTGTTGTTTAAAAGCTCATTTTAGTCATTTTAGGATCATGTAGTTGCATTTGTGGTGGTTGTGCTATTTTATTTCTAATGGTGTTGTTTGAGGGAAAGGTGCAGTTTGTCTATGGTGTGCACCCAACAACCATCATTACCCTAGATATTTTTAGTATATACACATCATGGGAGAGAAGAAAGAAAGAGGACAGAGAGCACACGCATAGAGCATAAAAATCACATTTTTATTTTCTTTCCTTCTTCTTCCTTGGGATATTCCTCCATTGATAAAGCTCCAAGGAGTGGCAAGCTAGGCGCCGGAAGGAGCTAGCGAGCTAGGTGGTTCGTGGTGGCCGAGAGGAGACCTCCGGTGGCGCGTCGAAGGCTTCTCTCACTTCCCTTTTGTTATTTTTCTATTAATTTGTGGGTTGTTGGAACGAATATTTCATGACTTTGTGTTTGGATATTTCGAACCCCACCATGAACTAACTTATTTGGTGGTGGTTGGTTGAACGATTGTTTAATTTTATTTTTTATGGTATATTTAAGTTTATTTTAGGTTCTTTATTTGCTTTGCTTATGAATGCTTCACCATCTAGGCTTGTAAGAGGCAGGAAATGTCCATCTCTTAGATGAAGGTTAGGTATCGGAAGAATCCTAAGCTAAAAATATGTAAGTATTCGGAAGAAACGCAAGATAAGATCCTCATAAGCAATGGGTTATGGTATTTTCAAGGGGCTTTGAACCGGCCTAGGAATATTATAAACTTATCCCTTAGATCTCGGAAGAGACTAGGATAGGATTTCAACGACTAAAAAGGGTGTCTTTATCAATAGGGTAGGCTGTCCAACATCGTTGAGTGAGAGCAGATGCCTTGGCATCCTATTCTGTTAGGTTCTTTGAACACCTTAGGAAAGCCCTGTCGAGTAAGTAAAGACAGATAGCTTAAATATACTTGAGAAATAAGTTTAGCACCTTAAACCAATCCTTACCATTCCTTCATGGAAGCTTGTCACGTGAGGATTATTTTTTCTTATTTTATTTATCTTTTATTTACTGTTTTACCATTTTTCATTGCCTTGACATTTCACCATACTCAATATTAAACATCCATCATTGCCACGCATTTCCATTTGCTACACCATCACACCATCAATCCACACACCAGCATACACATTTCCATTACCGTGACATTTGTATATATCAAGACTAACTATACTTAGATAATTTAGTGTGTGCTTTGGTTAGACTTTCGTAATTTCACCCAATCCCTGTGGAGACGATACTCACATCATTATATTACTTGAGCGATTGTGTATACTTGCACATATTTGCGTATATTTTATAGTACTCATAACACGCGAACAAACTTTCTTGGTTTAAGTGAATTTAGATAAATCCCATCTATAACAAATAACACATATCTTGATAACTTAAGCATCCATGTACAGTCCAACAAAAAGCCAAAAATCAATTTTTTTTAAATATCAACATTCACATAGACTGCAATAACTTTCATTATATCAATATGGGATGGGAGATTGTCGAGTGCAAGCTAGACATGCATCATAAATCTTCACTGGACAGCTAAAGATTCATTGCATACTATTAAGTCTGTTATCTAGTTAAGATTCTGCAAAACTTTGATAAGTTAGAGAACTACTAGTGCAATACAATTCTCCCAAGTTTCAATTCATACCTTCTGCAATCTGATCTAATAGAGTGTGGTAATGATCAAATAGTAGCTAGATACCATATCCATTGATGACTGATCAACCCCCTTCTCAAAAATTGGTTCCACCTAAATTTCGAAAGGAAATTTTTAATACAATCAGCAGCAAAACATGGGGTGATCCACCGCTACACATAAAGAAAAAGAAAACTTGGTAGTAATAGATGAAAAGGGCACCAGATTTAACATCAGACAAGCACAAGTCGTATGAATGCCTAGTGACAATGAAGCATCATGCATATTAGTTGAGAACAAGTAAATAATTCGTGACAACTGCAGCAAAAAAATAAAGTTTATCAGCATCAGAATAAGAAGTCAACTTTACCCATCACAATTTTTAAACCTACAACAAAAAGAATGGAAGAGAAAAATTCGATCTGAGATCCATACCTGTGAGAGGGTGAGGTCCCTCTGACATGATGAACAATCTCTACCAAAAGACTATGCCAATGGCCTCAAAGTTTCAAACAAGCCGTCAGTTCCAACTAGAACCTGAAGTAAATAGAAAAATACAAGAAATCAAATGCAAGGATCGAAAATAATATGAATTAGATACACAGGTCAAAGCATAAAACTTATTTTAGCTATGAAATTTTATGCAAATTTAAAATTGATATCAAGGCTAAGTCAAACAACCAAACCGACCAGCCAAGTTGGTAAGTACACATGCTTAAAGGGAAAAAAAGGACTAAAAAACCATAAAGACATTTCAGCTACTGCTATGGTGATATTTCTATCCAAGCATCCCAAACAGGAGAATTATCTGTCAGAGTTCCAAACAAAGCTTAAAGGAAATTATTAAATGGTCCAACAATCACTGTCAAACTAAAATTTTGGGTTCAAGATACAAGAAAGATAGATCCTTCTTTTAGCCTTCAAGCTCTGGTAGAAATAAATAATGATTGTTGACAACTACACTAAAAACTATACTGTGTTAGTAAACAAGTCAAACCATCCAAGAGTTCCTGGAACCAACATCAGCATAAGGCAGATCTTTGAGTTTAAAGCTTTTATTTGCCACAGATTATCATGTGCTTCTTAAAACATGCTTGAACTGCCACTAGTATGACACCAAAATCCGCATAATATTTCTTTTTCACTAGCAAATTAATGGTCTCCATATAACATTATGTTAAAACAGAGATGAAACTATCACTTGCCTGATCTCTCATTAATTCCAACAAGTTTAACAATACAAGATCTTTATCATGGTTTATTGACTCATCTTGACGAAACAATGTAGATAAAAGGGGAGGATGAAATTTTACCTCTCTTCCAATAGGTGTCAATCAAAGAAAACAAACCCCTCTTGAAATCTGTTCCAAAACGTGTTTCAAAGCTACCAACAACTCTTGTATTCAGCACAATCAGTATTTAAAACCAGCAGAACCAAAAACAAAAAGAAAAAATAAAATCTCACGCACAACTTTTCCTCAATCCCAAACTGAAAATGCAGATTTCCTAGAATTTTTGTGCATTTAAAGAAGAAAACAACTAACAATTGAAAGTGCGTCAAAACTAAAAGAAACCAGATTAGGAAGTATGTTGTTGGTGCAAACGCGAGTCTGAGAAACCGAGAAGACCACCGAAGAACGGGAAAGTAATCCCGAAGAACTCGTTATTACTGCAATGAATATGATGCATGAACTTATGTTCAAGTAGGTTGAAAGAATGAAAGAGTTTTGGTTTTACTTACCAACATAAGAATTGCGAACAATGAATCAAAGCATTTCAGAAGGTGCGAACAATGAATCAAGGGGGAAGAAGCGGGAAATGGTGAAAATAATGGGGGGAAATTTAAAATACGACTTTTACAGATGACACAATTAAAAGTGTACTCCATGTTTTTGCAAATTTTTGGATTATGACTATTAAATATGACACACATTATTGTAAGTCATAAATCGTTCAGATTTTAAAAAACATGACATTTTTTATGACACACCTATTTTGCAAGTCATAAATTAGCGTGCGTCATCGTTCGTGTCATTAAAGGTATATTTTCTTGTAGTGTTGTCAATCTACAATATATATATATATAATTTACGAAATATAATCACGACACGCGAATGTGTGTCATCTTTTTTAATGATGTGTGCTTCAATGACACACAATGTAAGTCATACATGCGTGTCTATATTTATGACACACAAATGTGTGTCATCTTAATTTATGACGGGGCTTCAATGACGCTCAATGACGTCATAAATGCGTCATAAATGTGTGTCATAAATGTGTGTCATAAATGCGCGTCATAAATTTATGACGCACAGTTGCGCGTCATCTTAAATTCATGTCGGTGGCTTCAACGACAGGAAAATGTGTGTCATCCGCACCATAGATGACGTGCAATACGCGTCATTAAAGGGGTTTTTTCTACTAGTGACAGCATCTCCAAGAGGCTTGAGGGGGACTTGTCGCATTAATCTTTCTCAAATGGAGTCTAGTGGAAGATTAGCTAAGTGGTTCCAATCCCATCGTCCCGAGCTAGTGACAAGTTACGCAACAGCCACCGACAAAGGGACCAATTGATCAATCCTTTTATGCACAAGAGGTCCCTCGTTGCTCAACTAAGAATCGAACCAAAAGTCTGTACTTTGCCCGTTATAAATGTTCCAATTTAATCCATCTAAAATACCTACCCAAAAATGGCCTAACCCTTTCAAAAATAAGAACAATTATGCCATCGAGAGTTAATGGATGTCATCCGAACAATTATACTTGGCCCTTATGACTTGTACCCACAATTTATCCATTTGTATGACTAATTGATAACCAATTTTTATGAGGAAAGAAGTGTACACCTATATGTTTTTCAATCCCACCACCATCTTTAATTGACCTCTAGACAGTTCCATTTCACAAGGCTAATCTTCCTTTTCAGAAGCAATCTTTCTAATTCATCACAAATTCCTTTAGACAACCATGGAAACTGCATCACGTAAGAGGGAATTACTTGTAAGACAGCGAGCTAAAGTGATCCAACCAGCGAGAGATGAAGATTTAGCCGAAAATTAGATAATCTATTTTTTACTTTATCGAACAAACATGCGTAAGTTGATTTAGTAGCTCGTTGGTGCAAAAGAGAAAACCCAAGTATTTACCCAAGTTAGCAGCCTCCGCATATAATAGACCATGAATGATATCCTCCCGAATTTCACTTCTAACATTACGTGAGAAAAAAATTTGGTCTTGGAAGTACTAACCCGGTGTCCTGAGTTAATGCAAAAGTCCTCTAGAATTCTTTTAATAACATTCATTGTGTCAAAGTTGTTTCTCTAAAAAGCACCCAAATCACCATAAAATAAATGTGAGATCGGGGACCATTGCGGGAAATCTAATTGTTTTCCAATAGCCTCCGTCAACATTCCTCACTATCGCTTGGATAGGCGCCATACAAAGCACCAATAAGGCAAGAGCGGTCTCCTTGTATAATGCCTGTAGTGGGTTTAAACACGTCATTGTGACTCCATTCCAAAGCACTTGAGTAGATACAGACAAACACAGTACATGATCAACAAAACCAATTTTGTAAAATACCCCATCATATAGCGTATCTTCAATGAAGTCCCACTCCAAAAGGTCATAGGCTTTGTCAATCTATCTTGATAGCCATCCAACCCTTTCCACTAGCTTTTTGTTGTATAAAGTGAATAATTTCTTGGGCTAAATTTATGTTATCAGTTATGTTCCTTCACGGTACAAAACTGACATGATTCGATAGAACCCCCTTGGCAAAAACGGCTTTAATCTGTTCACTAAAATCTAAGTGATTGCTTTATAACTATCGTACACAAACTGATTGGCCGAAGTTGATTCAGAGATTCTGAAGAATCTATTTTGGGATCAAAACTATAAGAGTATTGTTAACCCAATCAGTAATGAAGCACCATAAAGAAATTAGAGATCAACCTATAAAGTGAATTCCCCACGATCATCCAATTCCGCTGATAAAAAAGCTTGAATACCATCAATGCTCGGAGTTTTTAGGGAGCCATCTTAAAAAGGTCTTACGGACTTCCTCCACAGAAACATCCATTAGGAGAGGCCGAAGTTCATCTTCATTGAATTTATGAAAATTGCCCTAACTCCATAAGCATAGAAAAACTCTATATAAATTGACTACATGAGCTTTGATGACCCCAATATCCTCACACCAAGAGTCATCAAGTTTGATCGAATAATAGTGTTCCTCCTTCGTTGATATATGGTGGCAACATCAAAATACTTTGTGTCGATCACCTTTTTCCACTCAAAGATAATAAGATTATTGATGCCATAGGCTTTCCTCCTGCTCAAGTACTTTAATAAGTTCATTTTTAAGTTCCCGCTCAAGATTGATTAGATAATCAGAGTTGCATGCTTCTAAAGCTTTTTCGAACCCTTTTATCCTTGCAAGAAGCAGTGAGTGATTTCCGTTGACCAATATGTCCAAAACTTTTGCATTTCATGTGCGTACTTCCTTGAAGAGAAGTGATGGATTTTCCTCAAAATTTGATCTATCGACCATACGTTCAAAAAAACCTTATGGAAATCAGGATGATCATACCAGCATCAAGGAAACAGAATGACGCTCTCCTGTTAAATCATTTTAGTTCTCGTAGAAAGCAATATGGCCTATGATCAGATCCTATTTTTTGCAAATGGAAAATAGTAGCACGTTGGAATAAGTTGAGCCATCCAAGATTACAAAGACTCTTATCAAGTCGTTGTTGAAGAGATCCTCATTCTGATGTGAACACAAGGCCATTATAACCATGTCAATCAACGCAGAACTTTCAGGAAACGTACAAAACTTTGAAAAATCCTATAATTCGAGTTGAACCACTATGCCTTTCTTCTGCTCTACAAATGGCATTAAAATCTCCACCATCACCCAAGGTAAATCAGAAAGCAGTTCAAGAGCTTGAAGTTGTTCCCAAACTTTTCTTTGCTTAGAAACACTAGGGCTGTCATAGATAAAGATAATAAAGAAAACTCTTCTTTTCTATGATCATATGGCAATGAGCATGAATGAATTGATTAGAGATAGCAATGTCTATCTTGACAAAATTTGTCCACAATAACTAAATTCCCCCCTGAGCAACCATTCACCTCCACACGATACGAGAACTCAAATCTTGACTCTGATAAAATTATCTGCAGTTGATAACCCAGTAAAAATGTTGTATTTTGTGTCTTTTACTTAGGTTATTGTTTTTTTAAAGCCCATGTCATAGCATTTAGAGAACATTTAGAAGCATGCAGTTGCATTTGGTGGTAAGTATTGCTACAACACGAATTTATTGAAAACATGTGCTGCTGAGGGAAATGTATTGTTTTTGTAGTGTTGTACGGGTGATAAAAGCTTAAGGTGAAGATGAGATTGTTGTAACATTCTGGAGATGGAAAGCTAAAAGACTTGCTACAACGAAAAATGGACAACATAACCA